TAAAACATTTTAAGGGTTTCTCAAGGTATTATATAAAGTATAAAACACTTAAGAGGCTTCCCCTGAAAAGAAAGAAACCCCTTCCTGAGTCCTAGCCCTCGTTTGATGCTCAACACGACATCCCATTATTGTTGCAACTGTTTACAAAGCGAAAAAGTTGCGGGCGAAAATAAATTGCGGCTCGATAATAGAAGCTGGGAAATTGAGAAAATGCCAAATGGGAAAACCCAACACGTGTCGATTCGCAAAATCGGAAACTGTGAAAATTCCACCTTCCCTACCACCCCACCCCCGCCCGCTCTCAGAGAAAACCTTGACAACCCCAAAAACAGGAGCCTAGATAAAAAATAATAAAGGAAAGGGGAAAACGATGTAAAGTTCGCCATGCCGGTCCGAAGTTTTCTTTACGCAATCATCATAAATTAACGACTCTCAACAAGTGGCAACAGAAATTGTGGAAAATGTGGGGGGAAAAAGCGAGAAAGTGTGTAAAAAGGAAAACTGAGAAGGTGAAACTTTTCCGGAGAACAGGGAAAAACCTACAACAAGCGGGTGGATGGATGGGTGTGAAATTTCAAATCCCGAATCCTTTTTTCTTTATTTTCTTTTAGGGAATTTGTAGTTTTTTATGGAGATATATATAGTATATATATATCTGATTTTGTGGAATGACAACTTTTTGCTATTTTGTTTTGGACAATTATTGGTAGGGGGGAGGAATACTTAATGATGGGAAAACCACTGGGGAAAAAATAGGGAAAGCAGATCTAAGAACTTGGAAAAGACATAAATTTATAATAGAGATATCTTTTCTTCTATGGAAAATGGCATTAAATGTTGTTAAGACTAAAAATGCTTTCTTTGTTTGTCGAACTCGAAGAACTTTTTATCTTCATAAAAGTGATTTTAAATATTTTAATAATTTTACAAAGATTTAAATTTTGAAATATATTTGCCAGCAAATTGATTTTTTTCACAAAATTGCTTAAATTTAAATCTCTTTTTCATTTCAATTTAAGGCACTTAGTTCCTAAACTTCTTTTAGTTAAATTATTTAGAGAATTCCCCCAACAAATTGCAATTAGAAAACCAAAAGAAAAACTGCAGCTCCTTTAGGATATTCTCTGTGTGAAAACTCACTTTCAATTAGCAGGACAGCAGCTTGTCCTCGCCGGCAGTTGCAGGGCCAAATTATGTTCATGCATATTTAAAATACTTAATGAATTTGATGAAACTCAACGTTGTCTGTTCGAGTTTGACGAGTAACAGAATGTTTTTCGGACAGGCGGGAGGGGGGGCAGAGCGTGGAAAAAGTGGGTGGCGGATAGTGAGTGGCTAGGACAAGGACACCCCTGAGCCTGTTGCTGCTGCGGTGATGGCATAATTGAGGAAGCATGTACTCTACTTTGGGGAGTCTCTCTGGTGGGGAAGGTAATGGAAATGCAGTAGCGGGAAAATGGAAAATACAAACTATAGTTTTGGTGGGATGGAGGAAGGCTTAACTACCTCTCGTAGGTACTTAGATCCTTCGTCGATTTGCGAAACAATCCACGAACGGGTACGCAATTAGACTTGGTAAAATGTAGTCTACTTTTGGGGATTGAAGTTTTCAGTTTTTAAGGGTTTTCCCGCTGATTGTCCACCGCAGACTCACAATTAAAGCGAGGCGAAAGTGCAAACTACTTTCAGCGAGAAAACGTGACCAGCTTTTGTAGTAAATGAAATATTTTCACGAGTGCATTTGAAGGGGGTAAATTAATTAATTCAAAAGGGTTAATTTGCTAAATTTAATATGCAAACTATAGAGTAAGGCTCTGTTATTTAAAAAGCAACTTTAAGCTAGACAAAGGCAACGTTATAAACGAACAAAAGACGTGGGGAAAAATCCGTCAAGGAATGGCAGGAGGCATGCGACATTTAACCGTGAAAAGAGCTGAGGAAAGGCAAAGGAAATTCTTAGAGAGGGGTTGGGGCGCAGGCTGATGAAAGCCCACAAAGAATGAGTAGATGCCGCCCTTTGAGAAAAGCCCATCTTATAGAAAAGGAAACCAAAAAAGGGAGCCGGAACAAGATGACTTGCCCCACGGAAACTTCAATCAACTGAAGATTTCCCCCAAGAAACTTGCAAATGACTAAAAATTTGTCACCCCTGAGACTGGCATTTATTTTAAGCACTATTTAAAAGCAGTCGGAAAAGTTCAACTGAAAACTGCAATGAATCTGCAGGAAGATAAAGAAAGTTTTCCACAAATTTCACAAAACAATTTCCATAAAATTTAAATAATTTCCATGGAGATTTCCCCTTGTATTTTGATTGTTTTCATTAAAAGTAACTTAATTTTCCAACGAACCAACTTAATAGTTGCTGGAATATGTTCGAAATATTTCCCCAAATTGAACCCTTAACCCCTTGCACACTCCTTAACCCCGAAAAATTGATTAATTTCTAGCTAATGTCCTAGACTGTCAGAAATGAAAAACAAATTGTTTTCTTTTAATTCGCAATGTTGAGGCATTAAGCCAGGCAATTGGTTGTGACTGGAACCCCTCACTCCCGCCTAACATCTAGTTAGCCCCCCCATGTTAACCCATGATTCCCCAGAGAAGCCCCCAAAGATATGCAACAGTTAACAGTCCGACGTCTAATTTAATTGGCTTAGCTTGAGCTCCGGGCTTAGGGCTCTCGTCTTTGGGCATTTGGCCTGTTGGCTTAGGGTTCCACCATCTCCTCCTCCTCCTCCACCACTGCTTTACAGTGCTGACAAGCGACTTGGTGGGGCATTAACCTCCTGATGGCCAAAGGGGGTTACGGTGTTACCAGGCGACCGGGTCGCCGAAAGCATCGTAAAAACGCTGCGTATCAAATTATCGTTAGATTTATTGCCAACCAGCCAGCCATCCAGCCAGCCAGGCAGGCAGGCAGTTGCTCGCCATTTTACATTTTTATGGTGGCAACAAAATAAAACCGAGAAAGTTGTTAAAAAAATGTATATATTTGTTCGAATGACAGTTGAATTGCATGGCTCTCGATTTATATGTTCTTGGGTAGGACTTTACCCTGCTGATATAGTTGCTATATGAACTTTACCAGCTGACAAGCGGTTAAGGAAAATCCGAAAGTTGTCAGTTAGCTTCCTATATGACCCAGAAATTTATTACATTTTAATGTTTAAATATGCGAAATAATAAATTTGAAAGGTCAGAAGTTATTTATAAAGCATATGTTCTGGCTTAAATATAAAAAGTTTTAAGTTTTTAGAGAATTTATCAAATATTTAAATATTTTTTTTTGCAATATGATGATAAAAATATGAAGCCTAAAGGTTAAGGGCCAGCCTCAACTGCCCAACTAATTGACTGCAATTTAAGTACATTTTCCTGGAATATATTTTTAAGCATATCCAATGTTTTCCCTTAGAATATTATCTTAAGAATGTTGTCTTAAGTCCCGCCTGACTTTGTTTTAGGGAATATTAATGAGTTTAAAGACGAACTGACGAACTGACTAACTGATTTTATTGGAGTTGAGTTTTCCCCTCTATGATCTGAGCTGATATTTGCAGAGATTCCATGGGCTGTGTGCCATTTAGCCAGTCGATGGCATTGCAGTTTTCAATTTTCAATTATGCATGCGTTACCCGACAGGTGGCGCCCAGAATCACTCGAAACGCGTCATGAATTTTTCATGATGTGTGGGCAACGCCTCTTCCTGCTTTTTTCATTTCCCTTCAGTTTCCATACCCCTTTCCGTTTTTTCTATGCCACAGCACACACACACACACACACACACACGTTTAGCTGGCTGATATGGATGATTGGATCGGTATTATGCAGCAGCTCTTTCAGCTAGAATTTGAAGCCAATCAGTCAGGGGGCAGGTCGTGGCAGGTGCATTGTCAGCTGCGTTGCAATTCAACTGGCTGATTACCGAAACGCCAACGGAGACCCGACAATTGTGAGAGGAAATATGAGAAAATGCAGCGATGCGGCATAAATATTAAGTATACGACGTATGGGCCAAATGCCATTGTCTTTTGTCTGTTATTGAAAGTGACAATGGAAATGGAAATATAATGGAATAGCTGACATTCAAGGATAGTATATATACCACTTGATTGCTGTTTGTCTTTTACTCCTCAAAAATTCCAAGAAATTTCCATCAGAAGCGACGTTAATCCTTCAGCAGGCACTTAGTGCGGGTTATATGAGTGTATTTATAGACTTTTCTTAGAGATTTCTGTGAACTTGTGAAGGCAAAAAGTGTTTTCTTTGAACATTTAAGTAAGAGATGTGAAACGTTCATATGAATTGGAAAATCAAACTGTAAACACAGTTTTAATCTACAAAACTGTCAACTTCTAGTTCTTAAACTTGAATCTATTCTTGATAGTAATACTAAAACCCACGAAAGCAGTGCTATTAACAAAGCCTATCTGCCTTTTTCCAAGCATTTTCACAATGCTATTTGATTACATTTTCCTATTTATTTATGTTTTATGGTCCTTACTTAGTTACAAGAAAGAAGAGAGCCCACTTTATTGCCACTTTTATGTTCGCTTAGTAAATCCTGTATTTTGATTTGTGGTCACACAAACTAGGCCCCCATCTCCGTATCAAATATCCATGTAATGTCCATGCCTAGAATGTGCCGGAATAAGCCGAAGGCATTGGCACGATTAACCCACGCGTGATGATAAAAGTCCACGAAAAAACTAAGACAAAACAAGACAAAGACACTCGTGGGGCCAAGATACTCATAAAAATGTCATCTACGAAGTGGAAATCTCTGTTGCAATAATAAGTATTCTCTTTCTGGGATGGGGTGAGGGGGACACAGAAAGTGTAATGAAATGAAAGATTCATGTTAATGGTTTTCGGCAAGTCGGCCTATCTTCTAACTAACAAATGCAAAGTGTTTTTGGCCGGAAAAACGAGCCAGCGAATAGGCACACACTTTGGGTTTATAAATAATAAATCGAACGGGGATGACAATCGCTCACCTCGAAAGAGGCCAGACAACGCCTATCTTTCCGCACTTTTCAAATGTGTTCAGCCGAAAGTTGGCGCACTTTTCGTACTTTCGTAGATTTTTCGTATTTTGTTAACGGGCCAACGGGGCGTATGAGCGACGGTCGAGAGGAGATATCAAGAATCGGATATCAAGTAGCCGACTGCGGAGGCGACCTGCCACAAGGCGACACAAAAGCGAACTGAGGCGCCCCATCCGGCGACTGTTGGCCGCCATAGCCACATGGAAATGATGCTGCCTGCTGCCCCATGCACGAAGCACCATAAACAGTTCGGCTCCGAGACTCGGATCTCGGGATCTCTACGAGCTGCTGGGGGCGCCAGCAAGAGGAGGCAGCGGCGGATACAGTCGCGGCAGGATACGCACCGTTTTTTTTGGGCATACACTCGTGGGTGGAATATTCGAACATGTTCTCATTAGCACTAAAGGGATTAAACTATGAAAAGGGTTTTGGGTTTCACGGAATTTGCATCTGATTGAGTTTATAACTTAAATCAACGTACTTTAATTACTCCTGGAATAAAATTGTGAGTTATTTTATTTGCTAATTAAGGTTAAGCTAGAATTTCCCTGTACAGTGACTTCCCCTTAGACCTGTACAAGTTTTCCGCCCACCACTGTTCCAAGGCGTAAACTTGAGGCCTGTCTTTGGGCCAAGTTGACGTCTGAACATAGGGCGATGTACAGGGAAAGTCCGGCTAATTAGCCTAGTGTCCGGTCGTATTCGGTGGCACTTGGCGGCACGTTGACCATGTCCTTGTGGTCCTTTGTGCTCTCTCCCCACCCCCAACTTGGCCACTTTTCCCTTCGTGTTTTATCAGTTGACACAAAGTCAACGTTCAGCGCCAGCTGAACTCAATTTGCGCCTGAAAACGCCAGCCACACCTGGCCATGTGAGTTTTTTTTATGGACATGCACTGGGAGGAAAGGCAATAATTGGAATAATAATTATAGAAGGAAAAAGGATCACTAAAAGTTTAGATAAGATATATTAATAGGAGGAAATTTAAAATATTTCTTTTGATATCTCAACCCCCTTTTTCTCACTGTGTATATCAGTGTAAGGTGTGTGTGCTTAAGCCGCAGAAAGTTGCTGTTTCAGTTGCTCTTTCTCCGTCCATTTGCCCTGTTGCCCCGACCGCCCCTTGGCGTTGATTTGGAGTACTGTTTATGCATGCAACAGGGCGTATGAGTGCTGGCTAATTGGCTCGAGGTGGCAGCGCTAGGTCGCAGGTAGAACACAGCAACAAGTGCGGCTCAAACTGCTGAGTGCATCAAAGTTATGACAGCACTGGTTTGTTGCTAGATTAGTTAGGGAAAGAACATTAAAAGTATTATAAGTTTAAGAATGATTATAATATTAGAAAATATTATTGGTTCTTAAACTTTTGTGGAGTTATAGCTCATAAATTCTTGCACTGAAAATAGTTGAAGAGTCAACTTCTCAGAGTAGATGTTCATAATTTAAAACTAAAGCAGATTATTAACTTTATCAAAACTCTTTTTTAAATGTTCTTAGCTGATATAGCTTGTAATGGTACTTAAAATGTGTGCATATTAGTCAGAACTTGTCTTAGAGTTCTTCTTCCATTTCCTTGCGATTGTAAAATCGTTTAAGAAAAACATTTTCAAAGCCCTTTGGAATATTAAGCAGTTTAGGAACTAAAAACTTAGCAATTTCTCCGGCAGTTAGCCGGCACAGTTTGGCACGCACTGGGCGGAAATGTAATTGAAATGCAGCGGGCTTGGTGGTTTTTTGCTGGACTTTGCTTGTTTCGTGCTTATTTATTGCTTTCGGTCGCATTTCGGCGACACTTCGCATGGCTTGTTGCGCTATTGCCAAAAACGATAAAGCGGCAAAAGCAAAACATTTAATTGGCGGCTGCCCCACAGTCCATCTCACAGTTTTTTCTTGTTGTATTTTTTTTTTTTGTATTTTTTGGTCGGATAACTTTCTTTCCGCAAAAAAAGCGAAATAAAAAAGCGTGGACACCCACACTCCCGCTGGCATACAAATGAAGAGTAATAGTCGAAAAGCCCCCCTCCTCTCCACGCCTCTGGCTGCTCCCCTGCTTATGCAAAGTTTAAAACAAAAACAAAAACAAAAACAAAAAAGCCGAAAAAGACGAAAAAATACAAAAGACATTCGCGGCTGATGTGAAAAATAAAAGCAATTAAAAATTATAAATAAATATTGTAATAATTGTCGTATAATCGCCGCCACAAAAGGTAAAGGTAGACGATAAAAACTACATAATTAAATAATTTCGTTGGCTTTTGGCCGTTGGCATTTGAGTGTTATATAATATTGCCCGATTATGTGGGGTTATTGTTTTTCACGGCCCTAATGGCCGGCCCCCCTTTCTTTGTAGTTTTCTTTGTTGTTTTTTTTTGGTTTATTCCCGCGCTGCGCTTACTAATTTAGCCATTGCAACATTTTGGGCCAACACTAAATGCTGTGAAAATCCAACACTTTTGTTACGAAGTGCTAGCGTGGGAGAATTCGCAGTTAACCCAATTTCTATTTCAAATTGTAGTTTAAGTATCTAAAACTGAGGAAAATAGCTTAAACTTCAAAAGGAAAATCAGCTTAGAAAGATAGAAAAATATTTGTTAACCACAAAAATTTATTTACAAATCAAATGGTAAAAACCAGTAGCTATACTTTAAACTAGTTGCTTTAAGATCTATACTATATCATGGTTAAAATGATTAGTAATTAAGACCTTAGGGCAACAGTTTATAGTAACTAATACTTGGAAGCTAGACTAATAACTGATGCCTGAGTACTCAAGCCGTTGGGACTTCGTTTTCGGGGTTTTCTTAGTGATATATCCGAGTGTCGAACTTGCCGCATGCTCAGATCGTAGGCGTTGACATTGATGCACAACTCTGTATAGGCCACCAGTTTGGGAGCCTTCAGTTCAGTGGCCAAGCGGTAAGCCTTGGCCAGGGACTCCTTCAGCTGCTCGCATCTGTTTAGCACGGCATAAACTTGGCAGCCTAGGAAAATGCTGTTGAACATCCAAATCAGGCAGTTGCAGCTGCGTGCCTCTAGATGGGGTTAGTTAGTAGGGTTAAAGATAGGCTATAAGGGGTTAAGGTTAACTTGCACCTTTGAAGGACTTGCGGGTTACGACCAAGCACTTGTCGAAACGCGACTCCTTGAAATGGCAGCGGGCGATCTCGAAGAACAAATAGGAACGTTCGATGGGATAGCGGGAGTGGCGCAGTCGTGCCTCCAGGTGCTCCAGCTTCTGGCTGAGAACAAGATAAAAAGAAGATATAGAAATCTGATCTTAGTGATAAGTTTTTCAAAAGTCAAAGCACTCACTTGATACGACTGTGCCGCTCCTCTTCCCTTTCGATTTCCAGATAGATATTAGGCCCACCAAAGCTAATGTTTATGTCGCGCACCTTCTCCGGCTGCAGTAGATATAGAGTAGGTCGATTCTTGGCCTCCAGAAAGTTAACATTGGCAGGGACAGCGCAGCGATCGCAGTAGGCCATGGCCACGGTGTTGTAGATGTCGTTGAGGAGTTCCCATTTCCAGGGCAGAGCTCGATGGTTCTTTAACTCTATGAATCCCGACATTATGGACTCTACATAGTCCGATAGCTTCTCCACATTTCCCTCTCGCCTTCGCCTGTGCACCTCGTGCAACATCCTCAGGCAGTCGCGTCGTATCTGGTGCTGGGTGTGGAACAGGTGCACCTCCCTGCGCCGACGCAGCTCTTGCTCATCAATCCTCCCGTGACGCTGCCTTACATGCCGCCGGTTGTACAGCGGATTACGGGCTTGCATCATTTTCTAGTTTGCTAGAAATGATAAATGGTTTTCCTAATGGTAATCCGTGGGTTAAAACTCACCATGAACCGCCTGACAATGGAGTACTGCTCCTCGCCCATCTGGCGCATGGTGGGCGTGGTGGCAATCCTCAATGGGTCCAGGAAGTTGCTGTCGCTGCGCAGTTGCCGGAGAAGGGCCACGTCGATGGCACTGCGACCCATGTAGTTATAGCTGTACAGTCTTTCACTCGCCTGTTGGCGAGCCTTTTGCAATGGTGTCCACTGTACTGTCTCCTTGTCGAGGACACTCTGTACATCGCAGTGCTGCCGGTCTCTTAGGGTTTTCCACAGTGGGCGGGTTTCGGAGACGTCCAGTTCCTTCTCCCGCCGGCTTACCTCCTCGAAGACTCCTATGTGTTGTTGCATGAAAGGTCGCAATGATTCGCCCAGGGTGTCTTCGAGAACGGAGAGGGTCTGAGGGTGGCAGTAGGGGTAACTAGTGATTAAGGGGAAAACCTGTGATTTTTAGTACCTTTTAAAGAATTTTCCTAAACGAATTCTTTAAAACTGAAAAATTCAGAGCGAAAGTTAGGTTTCCACTTACCCGATGCTTGATCAGTTGGAATCTGGAGTGGCCAAAGGGTCGGCCCTCCATGTAGGCTGTGGTTAGGGTTTTCTCGAATTCGTTGGCGTCGAAGAGGTCATCGCACTTCTCGGCAACGATAGCGGCTGATCGAGGAACATTAGAATTCGACTTTTTCCGATGGCTGAGCATCATCTCCAGGGCTTGCTGGGCTCTTTGGATATCGAGGAGAGCAAGATCCGGACGAGCCATCGTACGATGGCAGCGACCGCGAAGGAATAGGGACTTGTAGTCGTCACGACAGATTCCCATATCGGCCAAGCCGTCATCCAAACAGCTGCCACGGCGGGAGTTGGCGGCATTGGATGCCATGGGGCAGGTTAGACGACCGGGATGTAGACGCTGGTCCTTGCAGACGGTCACCGCTTTACCGAAACTCTCCAAGGCCATGCGATTCTGATGGCGACGTGTGTAGAAGACGCCCCAATCCCTGAAGATTTGCGATTGGAAGCAGGGTTTCCACTCAATCCGCTGCCAGGGGCGGAGTTGAGGGAGCAGGGAGCCGACTCCCCCACTGTTTAGGCTACCTGTCCAGGACATAATGACGCTACTTAGAATTTAAGCCAACTAGAATTTGGCAAGGAATTAATGGGGAAAGGGGTGCTGGGTCCACTCAGAACTTTAAGTGATGGAGCAAAGCCAAGATGATGGGCAATTCTGAGGAGATTTTCTATTTTTATACCCTAGGGATTTATATTTTGGATCGATTTTTAGGCGAACTTTGTTTTTAATAGCTATTATTAACAACTTTCGATTTTGCAACTATTAGGTTTGACCAAACTGTGATTACATTTAACTTACCAAAAGTTTCTCTTTGGCTTACCAGATTATTACCGAAAAAGTACAAATTTTCGCAAGTTTTCCTCTGCTCTATGCTGGCCTTGTAAGATCCCAGCTATTAAGTTTGAATTTCAGTTATTAAATTACAATTATCATTTATTTCGCTTGAGTTTGGCATTGAGTTGGTTTCAATAAATACAATAAATACGTATTAATTAACAGGCTTCAACGTTTAGCATTAACAATTCATTAACAATTACGAATTACGAATTACGATTTACGAATTACGAATTACAATAAATTAAGTTAAGGAGGGGCATTTAATGGGCTTTCCTCAGGGGGCGTGGCAGGCGGCGATGGCGCAGACGTCGACGTCGGGACAACGACTTGGCTGCCGGCGTCGCCTTTTCATTTTCTTTATCATTTTCATTGGCATTTTCATTCCCATTTCCATATGGATTTGCATAGCCATAGCCATAGCCATAGGCATTTTCCTCAGTTTTCACAGCGCTTTCTTCGAGCTTTGCTGGCTCAGTGGATTCTTCGGCAGCCTCTTCTTCGTCCTCGGCATCGGCTTCATCCTCCTCCGCCTCCTCCTCTTCAGCGTCCTCTTCTTCCTCCTCGTCATTTTCTCCTCCTTCTTCATTATCATCTTCTGCCTCCGCTCCTTCCTCTTCCTCAGCTGCTGCTTCCTCTGGCTTGACCTTTTCTTCATGACCTGTCTTCACCTCTTTCTCCTCGCTTTTCTCTACCACTTCGACCTTTTCTTCCGCCCCTTCTTCTTCCTTTTTCGTCTCTTCTTTTGCCACATAGCTGGGGGGTTCCTTCACCTGGTTTTTTTTCTCCACCTCATCATCATCATCATCGTCCACGTTTATCTCATTATCGCTATCGTTTTCCATTTCAGCAGCCACTGTTGTCGCTTCTTCTTCCTCTTCTTCGGCCTCCTCTTCCTCAGCTGTCTCCTCCTCTTCTTTCTCCGCCTCCTCTTCTGCTGTCTTCTCGCCCTCGTCTTCTACTGTCTTCTCCCCATTGTTCGTGTCATCAATAACAACAATGTTTGGCTTGTTAAATGTCGTAGCCGTTGTTGGTATTTTTGTGGTTGTTGTTGGTATTTTCGTTGTTGTTGTCGTCGACGAAGCTGTTGTTGTTGTTGTTGTTGTTGTTGTGGGCGCCTCAGTGGCTTTTATTGAATTGGTAATTGTTTCAATTACCTGACTTGGCCTCGGGCCACTCTCGCCATAACCATTGTCATTGTCAGGTGTCTCTTGATCGGAGTCCATGCCCGTCTCTTTCTCCGCCTCGTCTTCCTTTTCTTTCGTGTCTTCTGCTGGCGTTTCTTCGGTCTCGTCTTCGAAAGGTGCTTCTTCTGCCTGATCGCTGGCCATTAGCATTTCACTTTCGATTGGCAGGGGTTCAGCCTCTTCGAATTCTTCCTCCTCCTCCTGATGAACTTCACTCTCTTCATTCTTCTCATCTTCACTGTGATGATCTACGGAAAGATTATGTTCTGGTTGAATTTTAGGAGGTTCCATTTTGGGGATTTGGGAGGGATAGCCCGTTGGTTCATCTTCTTCATCTTCATCGGAAAGTTGTTGAATCTTCTCTGGCTGATTCTCCTCGGGTTGTTTTTCCTCAGTTTGATATCCTGGTTCTTCCTTATGATCATCATCCTTCGAATGATCGATTTGACCCAGTGTTTGATAACTTTGTTCTTCATTTTGTTGATCCTCCTCTTTGTCTAGAGGATCGATCAGTGTTTGATTCTTCTGAGGTTGGTCTTCTTTCTGCTGATCAATCGCTGCCTGGGGCTTTATCAAGATTGGATAACCTACAGGTTCTGCTTCCTCCACTTGATCTTCGTTAGCCTGATCACTGATCTGCGACTGATGCTTCTCTGGTTGATATCCCTGATTCGATTGATCCTCCACCTTGACTTCCTCTTGCGATGGATACTCCTCCGGCTGATCTTCCAGCTCAGCATACTCGTATTCCTCGGGATCATCGCTTTGTCCTCCTCCAGCTGGCAGCACAGGCTTGCCATTCTTATCGACATACTGCAGGCCATCCAGGCCCATTCGCATGCACTGGAAGTGCATCTCGAAGAGATCCGTGGTGGCCAGACGCACCACAAAGTCCATGCACATGTTCAGGTTGTTGCCAACCATAGTGACATCGGTCATTTGGACGCACATGGCCATGGGTACGCCCATCATGACGGGAATGCAGAAGGGCGCCGGATTTCGCACCGAGATTCCATACTTCGAGGAGGGTTTTCCGTTCAGATACACCTCCAGTTGGGCCTCCTCCAGCTGGGGCACAAAGCTTACATTGGCACAAACTGCAAAAAGAGGTAAAATGGGAAAGAAAACGTTGAATATACAAAAAAAATTTCAGATAGGCACAACAATGAAACGATTCCATTCAATGAATGAAAGTGGCGGGTGGCAAACTGTCGACAGATCCCAGGCGGACCATAGATGAGGGGGTGGCCAACGCTGGAAGCGCCAACAATTTGTGGCATTTTGATTGGCAAATGCTGGCATGTCACGAAGCGAAGCGGAGCGAAATGGAAACCGCCGATCGCATTCGCATTGTAGTCTCCGGCATGCGCCGCAAAACTCGCGGCCAAGATCGGTTTCTTCTTGGCCAAGGAAATCGGCCTGGAATCCAGCCCAAAAAAAATATATCTATCTAGCTGGTATCTACCCTTAGGCCAGGAGTCATGATTCCGACCAGGTTAAGTGATCCTAATCTATGCATAATCATATGGTTAGGGGATTACTTCGCCCGAAAGGGTATAACTTGGGTAGTGCTTATTACTGGTTATTGAGATATTAAGGCTAATCAGCCTGCTGAAAGGGAAACCTTTTGATTGGTTTTTCTCCGAATGAAAAGCAGGTGCAATGAGGGAAAACTATGTAGTAAAGACTAAGAATGGTTAGAAGGAATGCAACTTCTATCCTTCTTCGGATTCGTTTTAGGAACTAACACTTAAAGCATCGCTAAAGCTTGTTTGTTAGCCTAAAACTAGAATAGAATTTCACAGATTTCTTGGGGTTTTTCACAAACCTTAGAAAGGTTTTCTGCTCAAATTATTATTTCAAAAACATTCCTTAACGGAGTCTATACTTGTTAACTTCTGATATATGACAACTTCTTCGATTCAAGGATACTGTAAGTCCTGCTGAGAAGGCCTAGAGATGTCCCTTAAACTTCTTCTAATTATCCCCCTTTTCCCATCTCACAATAACCCCGCACATTCTTCTCACCTTTCTGATCGAATCTATATTGATCGACCTTGAGACCCGCACAGCATCCGCAGGTTGGTCCGTTGCACTCGCAGGGCTGTCCAAAGGTGGACCAGATGGAACCCTTCTCCGAGTACTTAACACTGGCCAGGTTACGACCCCGGGACACACTGACCGTGGGCGGTAAATAGGGTTGGTGGGACTTCAGTTCGTAGAAGATCAGGCCATTGCTATAGCTGCGCGAGGATATTTGCAGGGGGCAAAGGACCAGCACTAGGGTTAGACTTAAACCGATCCAAGGAATCATGGCCACTGATTGTTAGATTAAAATCCACACTCAAATGATCAAAATAAAAAAAAAAAATGAAAAACAGAATCAAAGATCACTGAACAAAAATGCTGATAATGCGGACGCAAGGCGGTTTTGGTGGCGCTCTTGAGGAATTCGCGGATCACTTCACGAGTCAGCGGTAACGGTATAGCCGTGGCAATCCAAATGGCAATTCCACTTATTCAGAGCTCCTCGTACTGGAGCAATGACAACCGTTCGCGATCGACGACAATTAAATATTAAAACGCTGAACGCGACGAGCGTTAGCTTAAAAATGAAATGGAAACCGCCGGCCGAAGAAGTCGACAGCGGCGGCAGCAGAGGCCAAAATGTTGCTGCTGGGAGACAAGGCAGCAGCAGCAGCAACAGCAATACCAATAGCAATAGCAAAAGCAACAGCAACAGCAACATCAAACGGCAGCAGCAGCAACCTCGTTAAATTGTCGCTCGTTGCGGCTGTTTGCTGTTTTTGCTATAGCAAACTATTTGTACACTTCCCAAAAATGGGGTAGATTAAAGTTATGAGTTAGTTAAAGCATAAACTTAAACTTTTTCATTATTTTTAGGAACTTTAAAATAGTTTTCAGTGCTTAAAGGGAAGGGGAATTTTTTCTTTAAAGTCTTTTTGTTTTCATTTAAACTAAAGTAAAGTCTATCTTTACTCTTTTTTTATTTACCTGACATTAATTCTTGATTTTTCTTAAGGAGTTTATATAATTTTATCATATTATTATTGGGCTAAAACCCCTACTTAGAGTATCAAAGATTCCCCCATAAATTCCTCCAACAATTTACTTCTTATCAGCAGCGGCAAATCGCCAGTTGCTGTTGTTGCCGCAGCAACATTTATTCTGTTTTTGTTTTTGTTTTTGCTGTTGTTGTTACTGTTTCTGTTACTGTTAGTGGTGCTGTTCGTGTTGTTGGAGTTTTTACTGTGACCGCCGCTTTGTTTATTTGTCTTTTAAGTCGATGTTGCTGCTGTGTCTGCAGCAGTTGCTGTTGATGTTGCTGTTGCTGCTGTTGATGCTGCATTGCTTTGTTGCGTGTGCCGAGCGTTTTTTTCTTTTATTTTTTTGGGGCGACAGTGACAAGAAAATTGCGGCGATCGTGACTGGCTGGGAAAGCCAAAAACAACAAAACTCCACAGTCCACAGTCCACACTCTGGACTCCCTGGCACATTTGTTGTTGCTTTTGGTGTTGCTGTTGGTGTTGTTACGCAAAGCACTTGGGGCAGGTCATGGCCTTATGGACTCCTCAGTGCTGTGATTTTCGAACTGGGAACCATTACAGCCGACGGGAGTTACGGTTATGGCCGACGCTGTTGCCACAAACACCGCTGATTTATCGATCCAATTGTCCCATCTGCCACTGTCACCCGACTATTCTCTGTTGGTTTTCACCCTTTCCCTAAGCCGCCCTTTTCCCAAGTATCAATTGGCCAATAAACCAAGTTGCTGCTTTCGTACGTTTGGTTAGAAATCTTTATTTGTTTTTTTTTTAAGGATTTCAAAGTTATTTTTATTTTTTATAATAGTTTTCTGGGTACCATGGGCAGGGTTAAATAATTATATCAAAAATAAACAACTTTTCAGTCCAAATTTAAACATTTGAAGGTATTAAAAAACCCATTTCTTTGATAGTAAATTGTGTTTTCTTTTTACCTTTTAATGAGTTTATGTTATGGCCAAGTTAACAAAAACTATTTGGACATCATTTGATTTGGATGTCGGCGTATTTCGGTGGCTATTTCGGTTACCGGTGGTCGGTCCCAATCGCCTTAGGGCCCTGCTATTGCATAATGTCTAACCCAGACTCATTTATCAGCCAAATGCATGGCCAATGGCCAATGGCCAATAGAGAGTCTCGAACTGCAATCTTGTTAAGCGTTAAGGGGGACAGACACTTGCCAAGTTGGAAGGCTGAACGGGCGGAGAGTGAAATGAAGCGAAATGTAAAATGTTAAATGGAAATCAAATTGAAAATGAAAATGAATTTAACAAAAATGGAAATAAAAAGTGTCGCCAACAATTAACACTAATAAGCCGCCGGTGCGGTGCAATGTGCTTTCGTTTATGTAATGAATGGTCCATCCATCGTCGCATCCGCCGGCATCTGGTCATTATTAACTGGCTGGCTGGCTGGCTGACTGGCTGGCTCGCTTATTGGGCATTATTAATTCATTACTGATAATATCAATTTGGCACGCCAGTGGCTGGCTCTTTCTCTGTTGGTTTATTTCAGTTTTCTGCTTGGCCCTTACGCAAAACTAATGCCATGGCTTAAACTCAACTCAAATCTGGGTCAATATACAAAGTAGAGCTTCCAACGGTTTTCAAATGCTTACATTTCCTGGTTCAGAACATCCTGAAAGCTTTCCAAGGACGAACGCATAGATAAGTTTGAAAAGCTCAGTTAGGAAATGAGGTTGGTTTTCTGGCTAAAGTTTGTCTAAAGTCAAAGAAAGCTGTTAACATTGGTTTTGGTTTATAAATCAGAAGCCAAATCTGCATTTTAAAAACTTCTTTCCCAACCTAAAACGACTTAAGTGATTTGAAAAAATCATCTAATGATCACAATGATCATCATTTATGATGAGAATCCAGTTCTTCGATTTGATTTACACTCGATGCCCTGAAGGTATTTCCCTTTTACCTCTGCAAACTCGCAATATTATAAATGCATTACGAACTTTCGCTTTTCGCCCTGCCATGTGCATTGTCATTTGGGGTTATGTAAAATGCAACTAAACCTTTTGCTGTGCACAAAATAATAAGCAAAGTGAAAGCTTAGCTTCCGGATTAAGTTATTAAAATAGCAATTGCAATTGTACTTCTCAGTATTCCTTGCACTTTTTGAAATTCCAATGGAGATTAAACAAAAAAGAAAAAGAAAAGGTTTTATGCCCAAAAACATTAGAATTTAGTTCATAACTTAGCCAAATATTGTCCGATTATGGAATGCCATGCCTCGTTGTAATCGTTATTAAATTTCCATAAAAACCGCATTCACAGCTAAAAATCTTGATTTTTGGCCATTTTTAACAAATTTTTATGAAATGAAAATCGAAAATGAGAAATTTGAGTTCTTGTTTCTTTCCCCCCCCAATATGACAGTTATTATGTCCATAAGTTAGCCAAATGTGGTCAGAAAAAGGAATTTAATACCTCGTTGACCTTGTTTTCTAACTCTTATCAAATCTGTATTCACGGCTTGAAATGTCAAATTTTGGGCCATTTTTCGGAAATTTGGATGATAGGTACCCCTTATCGAAAATGCGAAAATTGGTTACTCCTGTTTTTCTCCCCAAGTCGCCAGTATTTTGCTCATAACTTGGCCGATAATGGCCCAAATATGGAATGTAATACCTCGCTGAGCTTGTTTTCTTATTCTTATCAAAACTGCATTCACAGTTTGAAATGTCGAATTTGGGCCATTTTTCGAAAATTTGGATGATGGTACCCCTTATCGAAATTGCGAGAATCGCCTTCTCCCAAAGTACGCCTCAAAATGAAAGTATTTTGCCCATAACTCAGCCAATAACGGTTCAAAATCGGAATATAGATCCAGGAAATGCTTGTCTTCTTGTCCTTTGTAAATCTGCATTCAAAGTTGAAAAAGTCAAATTTGCGCCTTTTTTCGGAAATTTGAATGTTGGTACCCCTTATCAAAAATGCGAAATTTGGATTATCCCGATTTGCCCCTCACAAGACAGTCAAGACAGCATGTCCATAACTGAGCGAATAATGCTCCGATTATCGAATGTAATGTCTCGTCAAGTTGGTAATTAAATTTCCAACAAAACATAATTTACACCTAAAAATCTTCATTTTTAGGAATTTTTCGAAAATATACGATGTTACCCCTTATCGAAAATGCGAAATTCTGTTTCTCCCTTTGTCCTCTTTTGAGTCACAGTATTATGCCCATAACTAAGCCAATAGTAATCCGATTCTGGAATGTTATATCTCGTTGAATTTGTTATTAAATTTCCAACAAAACTGGATTCACACCTAAAAATCTAAATTTTTGTAAATTATTAGCAAAAAAAGACGATGTTACCCTTTATCGAAAATGTGAAATTCGGTTTCTCCCTTTTTCCTCTGTTGAGTTATAGTATTATCCCCATAACTAAGCCAATAGTAACCCGAATCTGGAATGCTATATCTCGTTGAATTCGTTATTAAATTTCCAACAAAACTGGATTCACACCTAAAAATCTTAGTTTTTGGCCATTTTTAGTCAAATTTGATGATGATACCCCTTATCGAAAATGTGAAATTTATTTCATGCCGAGTTCTGCCCAAAAACGACGTATTATGTTCATAACTAAGCCAATATTGGTCCAAATATAGATTTTAATACCGCGATGAGCTTGTTTTCTAATTCTTAACAGATTTGTATTCAAAGTTGAAAAAGAAAATTTTTTGGCATTTTTCACAAAAAAGACGATGTTGGTCCTTATCAAAAATGTGAAATTTGTTTTTTACTATTTTGCACTCGAAATCACATTATTTTTCTATAGCAAAACCAATGCCACTTATCTTTGAACAGTTACTCTAAAACTGTAAGCTATTTAAAACGTTGCCCTAAAAGCATGCTGTAAAACTTTTCAAATTAGAGCCGCTCTTTTCAAACTTTCCATTGAAAATTGATTGTATTTCGAAACTATAAACCAATTCAAGTTTCCCACTCCGGTTTTTGAGTTAAATAATAACACACAGTAAATATATATTTTTTTGTAATATTTTAATACATTTTCTTTGTTCTTGAATACATACAATGCTCTTGTTTCTGTTTTTTTGTTTCATTTTTTTTTGTTTGTTTTTGTTGTATAACACCGACAAAGCAACTGGTTTCGCTGTGGATAGACAAAATTCACAAGCGTTGCCGAATAATATGCCATCCAAGTACATGTACATGTGGGCTCCCCGGGGAACCCGTAAATATGTTGTGATATATAGGTAAATATATATGTATATATATTATTTTCATATATGTCGATGAGTGCGTTAACGCTTATGTGTTTGTGTGTGTGTGTGTGTGTGTGTGTGTGTGTGTGTAAATATGCACAATGATATATAAAAAGTTACATAATTGCATTATGCCTGACTTCTATATGTGTATCCAAAAGATATCGTTCACAAAAAATATCTTCGATAAAACATTTTGTTTCAATCTTTTTTCATTTTTTTTTTTTTTTTTTTTTTATTATTATTATTATTTTTTAGCTAAATATGTTTGTCGTACACACGCACATGTATATTTGAATAGATGTAAATCGTATATAAGTATGTTCTGTTTTCTTTTTTTTTTTTGTGTATATATATAAGATATATTCCTTGTTCTTCGCTTCATTACTCTTGTATACATATAAATTTACTTGACAGACAAAAAAACCTTTTGTTTTTTGTTTTTAATATTATTTCTTGTTTGCAAATGTTTTGTAAATGTTCACAAATACAGGCATTAGAGTACTACAAATTGGTTTTTATCCATAATAATGGGGAATACGATTAATTCTAGGTTCGTTATATAATACATACATAAGGAAAGTGCTGCCAGCTGCTCAGAGTTTCCACTTCGAAAGGGTTAACAGAATGAAAGAAAAACCAAAGAGGGGAAATCTTTCATGGTCATGGATATACACCTTCCAAAAGGCCTACTTCTTCGTGACAGTTTCCCAAATATTTTAACAATTAATTTTCGCTTTTTTGATCTCTTATTGTACAGACAACATTATTTCCCTTTAGCTTGTTGGCTTGGCCGCTCTCTTGTGTGTGTGTGAGTGTGTGTGTGTGTGTGTGCTCTTATCTCTTATCAACCTAGTCCTATAGCCTAAGTAACATATTATCCTTAAAGAACTAGCGAAAAAAAAACACTTGTATATTTGGATATTCAGTTATGAACTACATACGATGAAAAAAAAAACATTTCTCTAGGGGCTAAGTTTCACATTCTAACGCATGAATAGAGAACGCAGGGAGATAGTTGGCTGTTCGAGTTTGAGAAAAAGCTGACTAAGCTCTAGGATTCTACATAAATCAAGAAAACCAGAAACATTCGCTGTTTATACACCCCTGTGACCAATTCCGGTTCCAAATCAGAGTCAAACTTAGCTTTTCCGAGAAAGTTTGCTGAATTTTTCACATGGATTTTGAATGAATTGCGAAATGAACTTAATTTAACTTTGATTTTCAATGATTTTGGTTTTTTAACAAAGAAATATAAAGAGAAAGAGAGAATTTTGAAAATATTTAAACTTTATAATGATTTTTGAGCTTAAAACTTTGAAAGTTTTACTTGCGAAATTGCGAAATTTTGACAGTTGTTAATTGAATTTTTAATTTAAGATTTTAAATGATTTTATTAGAAAGAAATGAATGAGCTAATAGAACCTCCGAATTGGTTTGGAAATGCCCACAGGGCCGCTAATAAATATATTCGAAATTTTCCTCTTACAGCAAACGCAAAAAGAAATCAAGGGATGTGGGTGGCCGCCGTGATTTGTGCCTAAACGTAATCCTACGAGCTACTAACTAAATTTCGAAAAACAATGTACACGCGAATCTAGAACTCCTTGAGGCTGCCGCCGCGCTTCAGTTTGGTCAGTCGCTTTAGACTGGCACCCAACATGCCACCCGATCCTCCAGTTCCTCCACCGCCGCTTCCCGATCCTCCATCGTGGCCGGCACTGCGATCTCGCTGAATGAAGGAGCCACGGAACCGAACGCGTCCACGTCCACGGCGTTGCATCTGTTGCAATTGCTGTTGCTGCTGATGGTGCTCGCCCACACGGCGCCACAGCTCGGTGAGCGGCGGATGGTGCTGGTGGGGATGCTGCTGAAGGGTGCAGCAGCACACCAGCTCCTGCGATTATAACTTCTTCTCCCACACCACGATGTGGGCGTCATTGGAGTTGGCCGTTAGCGGAGAGCAGCTGGGATTGCCCGACTGCATCGTTTGGCCACTAGAGTTGGATCCACTGCCACCACCACCGCCGGAACTGCTGTTCTTATGGCTGGGCGAACCACCCGCCCCGTTGTACCACATCTGACGCCAATAGCCTCGTCCACCCATCAGGGTAATCACTGTCCTTGGTCCATCGGCGTTCTGTTGCTGCTGCTGCTTGGTGTTCTGCTTCTGTTTCCGCTTCAATGTGGCCACCGCAGCGGCGGGCTTGTCCAGTCCCTGATTCACTGTACCCAGCCTGCTCATTTCCTCCGGCTTGGCTGAGCTATTCAGCTGCTGTTGCTGCTGCTGATGGTGATGGATATCCGCTGTGGTCATCAGGCCATTCTCGGATATGTTGCCCAGATCACTGCCCGTGCCGGAGGTCTTGTGGCTGGCACTGCTGCTGTTGCGGGACACGGATCGTCCGCCAAAGTGCCGGATGCCCATGCTCTCTTCGCTGCCCGACGACGTGTACAGGCTGGAGGACTTGGAGTCCACCGACCAGTTGGATAGGTCCAGTGATCTCGGACGCGAGGCCTTCATCCGCAAACGTCTGTCCAGGGTGCACACCTTGCCGGGTATAGCTGCCAATTCGGGATCCGATCGTCGCATTCCCTCGTACATCATGTCCATAAGGTTGCCCTGGTTACCGTCCTCGGCATCGTAGTCTTCCTTCACAAATATCAGCTTGCCATACAGGCCGTAAACATCGCAGATGCCGTGCTCGCCATGCTGCGAGGTATTTCCACTTGCAGTTCCTGTGCTCACAGCTACGGTTCCTACACCTCCTCCACCGCCGGCTGCAGTGGCTCCCAGGCCACGGGGTAGAGTTTTGGACATTCTATTGGGATCATCGCGGAACCGTTTGCGGTGGAACGCTGGTGAATTAGCCAGCGAGGCGCGGATTTTGGCTGTTAGGCTCTGATCCAAGGAGTTCTGCTTATCCAGCTTGGAGCTGCGCGGTGATGAGGCCGTCGAATCTACACCGTGATTGGTGGCAGCCACTTCCTCCTTGACCAAATCGCGTCGCAGAACTACAGCACCATCGTCCAGTTCCTGGATCTTGGGATCCGCATCGATGGCCGGCAGCTGGAGGTCATCGCCCATGCTGGGCACCAGCGGAGCTGCACCCACGGGCGGTGGCTTGTAGGCGGGATAAACCTTCGGGATCAATGGTAGCAGGAAGGTGATAGGTCCAAAATGCGCATGGCAGGACATGTTAATGCCACCGCTAATGATGGGCACGCCCTCCAGTCGGGGCAGCGGAATGGTCACCGCAATGCCCACATTGGTGCCGACCCACAGTAGTCCCTTGCAGGCCATCAAAGCGGTCACATACACCGAGCTGTTGTTCAGCGGCTGCTCCTTTTTGCCATCGTGCCGCAGGACACTGGAGGCTATGTTGATGTCCTGCAGGTGCTTAAACGTCTCCGTGTGGTACAGGCACAGCATTGTGGAGTTCTTCAGCGATATCCACAGACCAATACCCGAGTGGGCCATCAGATTCACCTGCTGACTGGCTCCGTGCTGCACCTCGAAGCTACGCTGGATCTCGCCATTCAGGGCGTTCATCACGTACACCCGGTTGCCGCACGAGGCGTAGATGCACATGTTGATCGGCAGCAGACTGGGCACTATTAGATCGGAATCTCCCAAACGGATGATCTGTGGATCCCTCAGCTGCCAAACACCATCGTTTCCACGTCGGAAGATCAACACCGTGGCCCCTGACAGGGCCACGTAGACGGCATCGAAGTGGTAGAGAATCCGCTGCACTGCTCCCGGTACAGAATAGCTGCCTAGTTGCTCTTCCTGCTCTGGATTCCTAGCAGAGTAGACCAGAATCTTACGACTATCCGTGCCCAGCCAAACCAGATCGCCCAGCAGACTGGCCGGCTCATCGCGTGTCCTCAACTGATCCAATCCCTTGACAAATTCCAAGGCAGAGACCTGCGTTTCGAAGAGATCAAAGGAACCAGCCTCGCGGAGATTGCCCGCTTGCTGAGGATGCTGGGCCAGAACGGTGATGTGCGAGGAGGTTCCGTCGCTGCTGCACATCCACAGGTAATTCAGCTGCTTGTGCCGGCGTCGCGCATTTCCGCTCTGCTTGGTGTCATTGGCGATGCTGTAGTAACATCCACAGCGCACCTGGAAAACAGAAAGACCGGATTAGGGATCAGGATTAAAGGCTTAGAGATAAGGAAACTCACCTCGGTTTGATGCTGTGACTTGTAGACAGGCATCGCCTTGACAAAGAGTGGCATTTTGCGCGACTGCTTTTGCTGGACGGCTTCCTGCAGCTGCAGTTGCTCCTGCGTCTGGCGGGGATCCCCCGCTCCCGTGTGCGGATGCTGCAGCGTATGATGATGATGATGGGCAGGCTGCGGATGAGAGCCACCACGTTCCCAGGCCGGTGAATTGTTCGGATCGAGAGCCAGCTGGGCCAGACGCAGCTCCGTGATCCATTCCTTCTTCACCGACGGCGTTTGCGTCTGGAATGTGAAGGTCTCCTCCTTGCCGGACTTGTGGCGTCCAGTGAGCTGCAGACAGCAGGAATCCACCCAGGCCATCTCCTCATCCTTACGCTGAATGGAGCCCTGAATGAGATTGAGCACGTTGCGTGTGGTATTGGCGTTCAGTTCCTTGTAGCTGCCCTTCAAGCTGGACACCAGATCCTGGATGCGGGAGATCACCTCATAGTCGTACATCAGGGTGCTCATCTCGCTGCACAGATTATCTGCCCCGTTGGTCAGTTGGGCAGCTGGCGAGCTGTGCGGATCCCCGTAGCCGCTGAAGCCTGAGGAGCCACCATGACCTGGTAGGGTGCTGTTGGCATATGGACTGCCATTGGCCCCGCTGCTGCCATTCGACTTCAAGCTACCGCCACGGTTAAGACCTGGAAATCAAATCTCGAGTCAGTTTCAAATGGTATACGAATGCATTTTGAATCCTTACCCGCTGTGAGAATCCTCGAGAGCGTAGCCGACGTGCTGTTGTCCACGATCTCGACATCGTTCACCGGGAACATCCATTTGAAGGTTAGCTTCTCGGTGGCTCCGAAATCGTGGGATTGCTTGGGCGCCACCGACACACAGATGACCTTATCGTTGAGCAGGAGCAGACGACGTTGTTTGCATTTGACAATGAACCCGGCCTGATTGAACTCCATGTGGGTGACATTGTCCTCGCGGAGTAAGTACCTCGGCCGATTGCCACCGGCTGAATCGCTGACACTGACGCTACTCAAGCTAAGGGATCGGGCATTGAAGGTGCCCGAGATATGGCCAAGCATCTCCTTGAATGCCTGGTACTGCTCCGCCTCCCGTTTGCTTTCGTTGAGCAGCTCCGCCAGCAGTTCCAGCTGCGACAAGGCCAACTGCAGTGACATCCGATCGTGGTGGCCCTGCGGCGTGTACTTCAATAGATCCTGCAGGAAGAGTATGAACTGGGGGAAACGCTGCACTGGCTTTACCATCAGGCCAAAGAACGACAATCGATCATGGGCACTGATCTGTTTGACCTTAAAGAAGTCGGCCAGTGCCGATTTGCGTTTCTCCTCCATTTTGGCCAACTCCATGGCCGCGGAGAAGTTATTGATGAAACCAGAATAGATCTCCAGGAGCTGTGGCTTCCCAAAGGCGTTCACAAAGCAATCGCCAATCTTCTCATCGCGATCCCAATTCCGGACGCACTCGGCCAACGAAATGCGGAACAGCTTGTGCGAATGAAGGATGTCCGGCAGGCAATGGAACAGGGTGGCTATCTTGACCGGATTCAGCACCGGCGGACTGCACTCCTCCAGCGGTTTCTTGTAATCCTGTTGGATGGTAAGAGATTAAGACTGTTTAGTGGGTTTCACGACTCTTTTTCAAGGAGTTACACCAGACTGTTTGGGGTTTTCTTAATAAATTTGGAAAACTATCTAACTTTCATCTTAAATTTGCAAATATTTATTTAATTTTTAAAGGTTTGGTGCAACGCCTTAAGTTAAAAGTTTTTACCAAGCTCTTTGCGCCGGATTTTCTAGCGTTTTCTCACACAGTTTTTCTATTTTTTTGGGCTTAGATTTAAATCTGGTTTTTGTTTTTCAAAGAGTATTCAAGTGTCGTGGTTTTTCTAATTTTGTAACTACTTGTGGGTGAAATATGAATTTGGGTTCAGATCGGAGTGTGTTAGTTAGTTTGGTTAGTGGGTTAGAGTTAGTGAGTGTGATTAGTTAGTTTGTTTGGTTGGTTGGTTGTTTTATGACGGTGAAATCGGCAGTTATGGCATATGGGAAGAGGATGGCATGTAAAGAGATCAAATGATTTGATATGAGATTAACATTAGTCGGTGGTTAACTAAGGGCTATCTAAGGTTGTCTAACTAACAAAGGCATGCAGTGATATTATGTAAGCTACTGAAAGATTTAACTTGACTTTGGCTTGGGTTTACTTTCTTTTTACTATCAGTTAGTTTAAGCTTCCATCTAGTATCCTTTCATTCCGAGCTAATAACTTCTCTGTTTCTCCCCCATCTAGTTTCCGACCCTCTGGACTTCATCACACATCACTTCATAACGATATCCCCAACCTAGTCAACATCCTATATATTTTTGTAGAAGACCAATCGGATATCTGGAACGTTAAGAACCATGTCGGACCTGAAGGATCTTAACCTGACAAAGGAGCAAATGGAAAAGCTTCAGGAGCAGCTGAAGGACGTGTTGAAAGACGGTGTCGAGCCGGACTGGAGGATGGCGGCCTTGTTCAGCTCCATCGATAGTGTTCGCCTCTTTGTGGAAGCTGACAAGCCAGAGACTTACGTTCAATTTAAGGATCCGAAACTACACAAGTTTATGGTGGTTCGTAATGGAGATGCAATGGGATGCTCTGATTGCGAACGTTTCGATCGGGAAAACAGGAAGGATCTCGCCCGCTGGGATGTGGATAAGGTGTACGAAGTGAATCTCGTTAAGGAATCTGATGCCGAGCAATTTGGAAAGTTTCAAATTGACGAAACCACTGGCGAATGCTATATGATGTTGCCCATAGACATTAGCTTACTCATCCGGGGGGTCAGCTTATCATCCGAAAAGTCCACCGCCTTAAAGAGGGAACCGGGACCAGGACCCACTTTCTATCTGTACGATCTCGATGACCAACCTGAAAAGGTAGCTGATCTCGATGATCATTCTTTAGACCCATCACAGGAAGCTCTCGATGATCATCCCCAAGAGGTAGGATCACAGGAAGCTTCCGATGAACATCCCCAAGAGGGATCACAGAAAGATCTTGATCAGAAAGCAAATATCAACCAGGATGAATCGGTTGATGATGAACCGGTGGAGCCAGAGGAACAATTTTACTGGGAGTTCGCCTCGCACGTTTTCGAGATGCCCAAAACCTGTTTCCCATTCGAAGTGTCTTTCGATTCCGAAGGGGATCGCATGTCGGGCGGCGCAGACGATTTGGAAGCCCAGGAATTGCCAACAGATGACGATTTGGAAAATACCGATGGATACTTGAGTGAGGCAGTGCAGGTCATGGACGATCTCTACAAGTATCTGGATAATTTGGACGACTAAAGGTAAACTCCATCTCGGAAAAGGTTATATCTAAACCAGAAATCAGATCCTACTTCCAACTTCAGTGTCTGGTCGAAACTTTCTAACTAGATCTGTTAAATTTTCAAAGTTCGATTAAATTAAAAAGTTACAAGTTAAAATGGAAACCTTCTCATCTAATCTACTATATATCCTGGATTCTTGGGATCAAGGGGTTACTATATTGGCATGCGGTAAGCTATACTCGTTTATAATCCGATTTTGTAACCGATTTAGTGGCTATAATCAAAGTTGCTTAAACACTCACATTGACTAGTCGCTGCAGGGTGGCCACATACGAGTTCTCACTGTGCACGATGGCTGCCACAATGTGGCGCCTCTTCAGCTGCTGCTGGGACAAACCGGCGGGGGCGGGCGGCAGCATGGGGACAATCAACCGATTATGGGCGGTACGAGCTGTTCCATTGGCCCGACTCCCCGGCGTCATCATCAGGTCCATATCAAAACGATTCGCGGTGGCCTCGTCATCCTCCGACTGCAAAAAGAAGAATCAAATTTTGAGATTTTCCAGGATTTGATTTGGAAAAGAAGAATCTTCGCCTTACCTCTGGCACTCCGGGCATCATTTTACTGGCTCCCAAATTGGCCAATTTTTGTGGCGAAGCGGCGTCCAGCGCTGCTCCTAGGGCTACTCCGCCGGTTCCCGACCCGGAGCCAGAGCCATTTTTGCCCGTGTTTTGCGAATTACCCGAAGCCGAATCGGGCGTATCGAAACTGGAGGCTGTCGAATGGCGTCCATCACGTCCTCCCACATCGTACTGATGCGACGAACCGCGCCTGATTGAGAACCAGCGAGACAAACGTCCCCCGGGCGATTCACCCGGTGTGGTGGCCTCATCCCGCTGAGACCCACCACCAGATCCTCCACCTCCTCCGCCATTCGATGGCATCGTGCAGGCACTCGCTCTGCGCATAATCATGTTGCTGGCGGCGTTATTGTTCTCAGTGGATGATGATGATCCCGGAGCGGTGGCGGATGCGGAACCTGTTGCGCTTCCGGTGGCGGCCGTGCGCCATTTGTCAAACGACAAATGCTGCTTGGCCTTGTTGAAGGTTGAACGCAATTGGGAATTGCGTTGATTGCCGGCGCTTAGCGAACTCACGCTGCTGCTGGTCTGCTCCTCCTCGGTGAGAACCTCCTCCTCGGCTTGTTCTTCGTTCTTCTCCCGTTCCCGTTCCCTTTCACGATCCCTGTCCCGGTCGAGATTCCGATCTCGTTCGCGGCAGGGCGATTTGGTGTCCCGTTCGCTGCTGCTGCCGCAGCTACTGCTACTGCCAACGCCGACACCAACGGCAGCCTGGCCACCGTTGGCGCTGAAGCTTCCGCCGGCAATTGTGGCTGCGGTGCAGCCCGCTGCGTCCCGCTGATCCCTCTGATCACGCTGATCCCGCTCCCGCTGCTCAGCAATCCGCCGGCTAAACGCACTATGCAACTGGGCTGTGGTGATGCTAGCACTAGATGGCGGTGATCCAATGAACGAAGTCTGCTGCTGCTGCTGCTGGTGATGCTGCTGGTTGTGCTGATGTGGCCGCTGACTGAGGTGCGAGTGATGCTGGTGGTGCGTGTGGTGGGCGTGGTGGTGGTGGTTCGGCTCGTCCAAGGTGTCCTCCCATGAGCCAGAGTTCAGTTTGTGTTCATCTGGAAAGGCGGAAAAGAAACATAAGTATAAAAAATATATTTAACATAAAGATATAAACACGAGTAAGTATAAATATTAATATTTTAGTTTAAATTAATACATTTATGTTTTTATTTTAGATAATTACCAAAAAAAAAAAAAAAAAGGGGAAAAGTCGGATTTTCTTCCATTCAGAAGAGTGTAAAATGGTTTCTGATGGTGGGAAACTAAAAAGCTTTGCAGTTTTAAATTCGGAACAAAAATATCTAAAAAACTGCATTCAAAATATAAAAAATTTTCAAAAAAAATATTTTTTCAAATTTTCACTTTTTGGCAAGGGGTACCCCTTACAAAATTTTTGAAAAAAAAATTTTTTCTTTTTTAATTTTTACATTTTGTTTTAATTTAAAAAACATTAAAAAAAAACATTTCCCATAAAAAAATCATTTTTGGCTGTTTTACAGCATTTTTATACCCGTAACTCGTAGAGTAAAGCGTTTCCGACCCTAAAAAGTATATATATTCTTGATCAGTATCAATAGCGAAGTCGATTGAGCCATGTCCGTCTGTCCATCCGTCCGTCCGTCTGTCTGTCCGTCCGTTCGTCCGCTGCCTTATCGTTTTTTATGAAGAAATTTAGGTTATAAGGCCTTACATGGCCAGTATCCTCACTACTCAAGTCAAATTACTCAACATGCTTTCTCCGACAATAGGTGGCGCTTTGTGAATTTCCACTAGCAAAATGAATATTTTTAAATAGTGTAAAACAGTAACGCGTATCTTATAGTCACGGTACTCGAATACAGTGTTCATTTTTGTTATGGTTAAAAATTAGAAAACAAATTGAACTTGAAAAATGATAGATGACATTCCGTATTTGGTCGCCCCGTAGGCTGACGTCATTCCCTCTAAAACATTACCAATTATGTGGCGTTGGCCAAGTGAGTTAATTGCCAGCAATTGTGGGCCATATGCAGATGAAGTCGGCCAAAACGGCAGCACAAACAGGATTTGGCCATGGCCGTCAGGTCTCCGTTTCGCGATTACCGTCAATTTCTGTGGCGTGGGACTGGGATTGCGACTGGATAGAGGGGAGGGAGATAAAGGGAGGCGGCGATCAAAGCCAGAAAGCCGCCAATTCTGGCCAAGAGTAATTCTGGCATCGTGTGGGTTACTTGCCAAGTGGCCATGGCCAGAAAGCCAACAGCAACTCCCACACTGGGCCAGCCAGGCCACGTACTCCGGCACTCGAGCCACTTAGACTGAACTGAATAGACCCACAGCAACCACTCCGCCAGAGCCACCAGAATGGCATTAGAGCGACAACTGTCAGGCCCAAAGAATGCACTGTGAGAAACTGGGAAAAGCCTATGGGATATAAGGATTTAAGAAGTGAGGAATGGATAATAATCAGCTTTCACTTTGCAAGGTTAAACGGCTTAAGCCTTTGAAAATACAGGAAAAAGGTTTAAAAGAAAATGGAATTTCCCCTTAAAAACCTTCAGAAATATGTGATTCTACATTCATTTCTCTCAGTGCAGCTAGAAGCCACGCTCTAAACAAACATTAGGATGGCGATTTCCGATTGAGATTGAGATTCAGATTCAGATTCAGATGGAGAAACACAACTATGGCCGCAGAAACAAAACAGATTCGAGACAAACTCGATGTCATGTTCACGACCATTAATCATCCAGAGTGGACAACGGAGGAGGAATGGGAATGGAGACGGAGATGGAGCTGGTAGATGGGGATGTGGTGACAAGTCGGGTTCAGTTAGCTGTGATAATTGCAAATTCAGCTCAGTCCGTCGCGTTAGCCTCTACATCTCAGCCCCAAACCAGCAACAGCCCAGCCCAGCCCATTACTCCCCTTTTAATCCCCTTTTTCAAATGTGTGTGGAAAAAGAGAAAAAACCGAAATCTAAAAAGAGGAACGGGAAAATTGTGTAAATATTTTGCGCAAAATGTGAAAACATCTTCAAAATTACATTATATATACGGCCCAAAAAAAAAAAAAAAAGAAGAAAAGGGAAACCGAAAAGGGAGACAAATTTTGCTTTTACAAAATTGAGTTTGTGTAACTTTTGAGGAGGCAGGGCTGAGGAAACTCGCTTTTCACATATTGAAAAGAGCAGTGGAAAATGTCGGGCATTAGGGGCGTGGCAAGGCAGCATTTAAGTTGATTGTTGCCAAACATATTTTCTTTTTTTTTTATGTTTTTTCTGTTTTTTTTTTGCATACACTTGGTTTAACATAATCTGTTAGCACGCGAATGCGGCCGAGGGAGAGTTTATTAATTAATCTTAAATAACTTTGAAAGCGGGGATGATGTGATGCGGAAGCAATGGGAAGTCTGAAATGCACAGGGAGAAAATCTTTGAGGGCAAAGAAATATCTAAAAAAATTCCAGTGATTAACTGGCACAGTTTACTTCATCCATCATCTCCTTGGTTTATGGAATTTATTAGATTTTTTGAGATTTTTTTTTGGAATTTTTATTTTGCTTAGCCTGTTACGACATCACGTATACGCACCATGGGCTCATTAATTATCATCACGGCAATGTGCAACAGTTAACGAAAACCGAGAAAACAAACTCCTGCCATCGCACGCAAAAATGAAAAGAGACCCCTCTTTTGATTCGATGCATCTAAGCCACCACCACCTCCGCGACTTTTTGCATAATGGAAAATGATTGTGAAAAATTAATCATACGCCATGTGACCCCGCGGGGGAGTCTTCACCAAATCTCCCATGCAATATTACCATTCGATTCGTTCGTGTTTCGTTTTGTTTACCTTAGTTTGGCACAACTATTGCCTGTTTGGGTCCATCATCCAGTCAATCACTGAGTCAGTCAGTCAGCTAGGCAGTCAGCTAGGCAGGCAGTTAAGCAGTCACCGGGTTATTCATTCGCCGCATTTCGCGCTCACTTATTCATTCCATTCGGTACCAAGCAATTGCCGCGAGTGATTAATGAGCCACTCATTAATGCCAATGCAGAATATGCTCGCTGGCAAGAAGGAAATCTCCGCACAAACAAATGCTAATGCTCACTTAAATTATACAAATTACAAACATCTATGGGATATCCACATCCACACACGACGTTGCCATATCTTTATATACTCGCATATATGTTTGTTCTTTATTGTTTTGCCAACTCATTTCACGCCCACAGGCGATCACAGCCAGAAACAGCAGAAACAGCAGAAACAACAGAAACAGACCCCAAACAGTCATAGAAACAATGTCAGGCGGACCCCGAGAGTCCATTGCTAATTGAAATGACAACCACAAAGACTGAGGTTGTAGCCACTTTTTGAGGCGCAGCCTCGCCGGGTCAAAGTGACTCCTCCAAATACACTCATTTTTCATCTTCTCTTTGTTTATTCATATAGTTCATACAATTAACAACCCGTTTAGCCTGTCAAACTTTGTTTGACAACAAATACTGCCTTCGTTCTTGCTTAATCAGTTCATCCACTCCACTCGACATTTTTCAAAACTTTCTCACCACAAAAACTAATAGAAAAACATTCCCTCGTTCCGCAGGGCAAAGTTTATACATTTTGTCTGAAACTTTCAGGGAATGCACTTCCCTTCACTAATCTAAGGTTTGTCAAACAAGACCAACCAATTTGAATTTGAAACTTTGTTTAATAAAGAACAGACTAGCCCTCACTTTATTCATTTCAAAACTAAATCTAGATCTAGTCTAGTATTCCGAATGAATTGCCAACTGGGAAGCTGGAAACCTGGAAAGCTGTGAAACTTTTGGCCAAAATGGAAAGCCCCCGTGTCAAGGGTATTTACGGTTGCAACTAAGAACTCGACTCGAAACTTTGGGCTGCATTTGATGTGCCCCTTCTGGACCACCAACCCCCATCCCGCCCCTTAGATGGCTCATAAATATTTCAGTCCAGCGCAGAATGCAGGCCAGAATGGTTAAGTAGCTGGAAACTAGTCACCTGCTGTTACGCCCTTTCTACCGCCCTCCTCAGTTCCCTTCTCTTCGCCGATTCTCCATTTCTCCATTTCTCCAGAGGGGTTCTAATGAGGCCACAAGGCTTCGTGCGACTCTCTGCCACGAGTTGCAAAGTAATTTCGTGTGTGTGTGTGTCTGAAATTGAGCAGCGGGCAGCCCTCCCCCCCTCTCTAATTTTCCTCCCACATTTGTGCTTTGTACTCGAGGCAAAAGTATGGCTCAGAGGCAGAAATTCAGCAAAGTTAGCAAGTTTTCTAAGCCAGCTGCAGGGAAAAGCTGCTAGCCGAAAGGAGTTTAAAGGGTGGTCAGGGGCGAAGGGGGTTACACTGAGAAAGAAATAGCAAGCAGGAAGCTATGAAATCTGCTTGAAATTTGGGATTATCAAGAGGGTTCTTTCAATCTGAAAAAGAAAGTTTGACAAACTCATGATAGAAAGCAAATCAAGTACTCATAATTCCCATGCCTTTTCCCTGTGTAGAAGTCAAAGTGGAAGCTTGCGGAAGCTCATTACGCGCACTGCCAAAAAGGAAAAACCCAAAATCGTAGGAGACAAGGGAATCCATCCCAGACATGGATATATGGCAGAAACCCCTTTCCTTCTACCCCACACCCCATCCCACCCAACACACACGTGGCCATAATAAGTGTGGAAATTGCTTTCTATTTGCAATTTTGATGGCCAGGACAAAAAAAAACCGAAAACGAAAACGAAAATGAGAACGAGAACGAGATGTGAGTGAAAATGTGAGGTGGGACTGGAAAAATAGAGGGAAAGCCAGCCAAAGCAGCGCGTGCCTTTGTCATAAACTAATTATTATAATGTAAATCACACACGCAGAGGCCACTTCTAACGGCAGGCCACGACAGCCTCCAAGCCAAACATCGGACGGATGGATGATAATGAGCTAATCCTGCATATTCATGAGCGGAAGCAGGTGATAATGAGGGGGCGGGCCGGGCGCGGAAGTGACACAGAAGTGCTGGATTAAGACGGCAAATTCCTCAGATGCACTGAGAGAATCTTCTTATG